AGCGGTATGCTGCGGTATGTATTGCGTGGTATTGCTTGCTTTCGGTACGGTCCGGTTCGGTACTGCACTGCACGGTCCGGTTCGGTACTGCGGTCCCAGGCCCCCCTCCCCTCCACCCCTTCCAGCCACCAACCACCACCACTCCTTCCCACCAAACACCCTAAGCACCCTCCAGCCCTGCCCCCCACTCACCACCCCCCCCCCCGCTCCAAGCCACCTCTCACCCGGTTTTCCAGCCACCCCACCCACCCCTCCAGCCACCCCCTCCAGCCACACAGTCCAGCCGCCCACACCCTCCAACAGCCCACCCCCCTCCAGCCACCCACCCTCCAGCCCAGCCACCCCTCCACCCACCCACCCTCCCACCAACTCCACAGCCCTCCATCCAGCCACCCACCCTCCCCCCTCCAGCCATCACCCCTCCAGCCACCACCTCTACCCACTCTCCAGCCACCCACCCTCCAGCCACCCACCCTTCAGCCACCCTCCAGCCACCCACCCTCCAGCCACCCACCCTCCAGCCACCCACCCTCCAGCCACCCACCCTCCAGCCACGCACCCCCTGCCACCACACCCTCCAGCCACGCACCCCCTGCCACCACACCCTCCAGCCGCCATCCTGCAGGCATCACACCAGCCATGCACACTCTACAGCGCTCCGACCACCCAACACGTAAAACCCCAAACCCACAACCCTAAACACTACACCGCAAACCCTAAACCCTGAGCCCTAAACCCTAATCCCTAAACCCTAAACCGTGCGCTGGGTGGCTGGAGGGTGGGTGGCTGGAGGGGGTTGTCGCTGGAGGTTGGAGGGGGTGGCTGGAGGTGGTGGCTGGCTGGAGGCTTGGTGGCTGGAGGGAGTGGTTGCTGGAGGGTGGGTGGAAGGGGTGGGTGGGTGGCAGGGTGGGGGGGTGGGTGGCTGGGTGGGGGGGTGGGTGGCTGGAGGGTGGGTTCACGGTTCGGTGCGGTACGGTAAGCCGCCCGCACGGTTCGGTGCGGTACGGTAATCCGTTCCCCCTAATATTAAAGGCCCCCCCCCCCCTCCCTTGTATAAAAACCCCCAAAGGGTTTTTTGTATTTGGGGGGGTTCTTATCGTTTGTCCGAAAAGCCAGCCCGTCCTTATTGCAGCACGCTGGCTCAGCAGCCCAGCCTAAGCCTAGACAGCTACGTTTGGAAAAGGTTCATGTTTCTGCTTCCGGCTTCCAACCCTCCCCCCCCAACTCCCCCCTCTCTCTGTAGAGATTTTAATAGGGACAGGCACGGGATCGGGATTTTGGGCCAGGGGGTTCTTTATATTAGGGGGGTATTAATATTAGGGGGAACGGATTAAGCTTCCTGCACGGTTCGGTGCGGTACGGTAACGGTTCGGTGCGGTATGGCGGAATTGTATTTTTGAAACGCCCATGGATTAGTACACCGCCTCAGATCTCGCTCAGGATTTTGGGTCGAGGGGCCGGTTCATCTTAAGGGAATGCAGAAGGTTGAGAAGTCGTCATACTTCCCAGTTGATTCTATTCCGCCCTCAACTCCAAACCCCAAACCTGAACCTTCATCTCAACAACCCCAAACCCTAAACTCGAATCCCTAGACCATACTGGATACCCACCAAGTCATAGCTGCCACATAGACTCTGCCAGCGCCAGTGCCCATGCTCACGGCCAAAAACAAGAGCGGCTTAGCATTGTGCCGGGGCAAGCTTCCCTAATCACTACACCACTGAAACCTTAAACCCTACAATCCTAAACCCCACACACCTAAACCCTGCAGCCCTAAACCCTATATACACCCCGAAACCCGACCCCCAACACCCTACACCCTTAAACCCCACAAGCCTAAGCCCTACACCCCTACACCCCACACCCTACCCGATCACCCAAGCCCCACACCGTCAACCTGAAACCCGACTCTGAAAGCCTTCTTTGCATCCTTAGTGTCCCCAACCCAAGGAGCTAAAACAGGCCCATTTACGACTATAAGGGCTTGGGTTTAGGGGTCTTGTTTCGGTTGCGGGTATAAGTCAGACACGTTTTGGCAATAGACGAATTACCCTTAGCAGCCCAAAGTGCGGCACGCCCTCCCCAGCATTCAGTGCCTGAAGCTTTGAGGGGTGTTTGGAGCTCCTGTGAGTCGCAACTGTTGGCTTCGGAATGCGCACTGGCATGGAGACCCAAACATTACACATAAACATGTCTTATATATGTACATATACACACACACACCTACATATTCTTGAGTATACACATATTATGCTCATAACTGCTTGCTTATGGATGGGCATACATATAGATATGCATGCAGGAATTCGGGCTTTGGGCCTGGGATGTAGGAGGGCTTAGCCGCTACGCCTCCAAGCCTAAGATCCTCTGAGTCTCCCCCCCCAACCCTAAACCCTAAGCCCTAAACCCTAAACCCAAACCCTGAACCCTGAACCCTAGGACCCTAAACCCTAAACCCCCCCCCCAAGGTGCGCGGCGGTGTGCAACCCTTCCTGCTGTGCCAACTGTATTAACCCGCAGACGGGGAGGTGCCCACTCCAAGTTTTGAGCTTCGAGGTTTCGAGTTGGGGTTTCTTGAGTTTGGGTATTGGGGGTGGGGTGTTGGGGTTTCGTTTGGGTTTTGGGCTGTTGGGGGCCTTTGGGGGCCTTTGGGGGCCTTTTGGGGGCCTTTTGGGGGCCTTTTGGGGGCTTTTGGGGTCTTTGGGGCTGGCAAGCGGGAATTTCGTTGCTTAGGGGTGGGTTTCGTGTGCAGGGCTGTTGCTTTGGGGTTCAGCGTCGAGGTTCCCCTAGGGTTGAGCCTACGGGTTTTTGGTGCGTCAGGTGTCAGGCGTAAGGTTTAGGTTGTAGGGTATAGGGTTCGGGGTTTAGAGTGTTTAGGGTTTAGGGTTTAACCCTAAACCCTAAACCCTAAACCCCAAACCCTAAACCCTAAACCCTAAACTAGGGTTTAGGGTTTGGGGGCTCAGGTTGCCCAGGGTAGGGGCATGTTTAGGGCTTCGTCGTTCATGAGAGGCTTCAATACTTGCGGCCACGTGTACCCTGAATCTGTGCGGAGCATTTTGGCCCAAACCCTGAACCCTTAGCCCTCAGCCTCGAGTTTGGGCCGTCGAGTAGCCATTGTAGAGACGGCTTTGGGTTCGGGGTGTATAGGGTTTAGGTCTTGGGTTTAGGGCCCCTTGGGGCCTCTTTTGGGCATCGTCGCTGTAGAGCCCTGATGATTGCCGCGTCAAAGTTAGGGGTCCTTCTTGTTGTTTCTTGGGTCAAATTTCTTTAGCAACCGATGAGCAGGGTTTTAGGGCTTCGGCTTTACCTACCCTAAACACTGAACCCTAAACCCTAAACCCTCTCCCCTAAACCCTAAACCCTAAACCCTAAACCCTAAACCCTAAACCCTAAACCCTAAACCCTAAACCCTAAACCCTAAACCCTAAACCCTAAACCCTAAACCCTAAACCCTAAACCCTAAACCCTAAACCCTAAACTTAACCCGAACCCTGCTCCAGGGACGATGGCGACGCCACAGCAGTAGCTGCAGATGGCAGGCACTCAGGGGGGTCAGCTGAACGCTGGGGTTCGGGTTTAGGGTTTAGGGTTTAGGGTTTAGGGTTTAGGGTTTAGGGTTTAGGGTTTAGGGTTTAGGGTTTAGGGTTTAGGGTTTAGGGTTTAGGGTTTAGGGTTTAGGGTTTAGGGTTTAGGGTTTAGGGTTTAGGGTTAGGGTTTAGGGTGGAGAGAGTCTCCCACGTGAAGGTTCTGAGCCCTTGCTTGAAGGTTCATGGATACCTATGAGTAGGGTTGCACGTACTCTACATAAGGTGATAACCAGAGTTACCCTACTTAGAACCCTGCTTATAAGTACCAATGAACCTCCAAGTGGGTCCCTGAGCGCACCTTGTTTAGCTTTTTGAATTTTTCCGGGCTTCCTTAAGTTTGTTGCGGGGCCTTGTGGGCTGTGGAGTCCGGCTTCCGCGGGGGTCAGCAGGGATACCATAAAGGTTTCGGACCCTCCCTCCCCCCCCAGCAGGTTTAGGGTTCAGGGTACCGGGTTTAGGGTTGAGTTCGCTCCACCGCTGCCGGTCGTGTGGGTGGTCGGGGACCCCTCAGCACAAGACAGCGCACGGCCATGTAGTAGTGTACAATGCAGTAGGACCCGTCGGTCGCTGCAGCCCCGAGACCCGAAACCCTATAAACCCTAAACCCTAAGCCCTTAGCCCCAAACCCTAACCCTAAAGGCCTAACCACAAGCAGATACCATTCTCTTTCATACGCAGCCTTGGGGCAGACTTTGGGCTGAAAGATGCGGATCTGTTGAGACGTCGGGCTGAGGTGGCTGATAGGCCGCTGTAGGCAAAGACCTAGAACCCCAAACCCCAAGCCCCCTCCCCCCTCCCGTCTCTCTCCGCCCTCAAAAAATCCAAGCCCTAAGCCCTAAACCCTAGACCCGGAAACCCTAAACCCTAAACCTTAAACCCTTGAGAGGAATGGCAACATCTTTGCCAATGCTTCGGCAGTTCTGTCGTCTGAGGAGGATCGCCAGGCTCGCACCTTTCCGGGTGAAGTGTCGGTAACCTTGCCGGCCTCAAAGCCGAAAGCCTTGAACCCTACTTGAAGGCTCATAGGGACTTATAAGTAGGAGTCTGCTCGCGCTTCCTGGGGCGTTGCGGGGCCCTCCGCCCTTGAGCTTGAGCACCTGCCTCGCTTCGAACTTGACTCGTGACTAAGTAGGGTTCAGTACTCTAGAGAAGGTTATAACCACGGTTACCCTAGTTCTCGCCCTACTTAGAAGTACCCATGAACCTTCAAGTAGGGCTTGGTGTTCAGGGTTTGGAATTCCAAGGGTTCTGGGTTCAGGGCTCAGGGTCTTCAGCCCTAAAGACTGCCGTAGCGAGTTTTGGGTTTTGGGTTTGGGTTTAGGGTTTAGGGCTTAGGGTTAGGGATTGTGTGCGTCGCTTTTTGCGCAGAGGAAAGTTGCAGCAGGCGCAGCCGTCAGTTCCCTGCCAGCCATGGCGTTTCAGCAGCTGGCTCAAATTCCCGACGCTCCGACAGAAGATCTTCCTTTGCCTGAAGGTTTCACGCCCTTGGTGACCTACAAACTTTGTCCGCCAGGTGGTGTTTACGTTCTCTTGTTCTTCTGGTTCCTAGACAATGTCGCAGACTTGGTCCAGGTCGTTACCTTCGTGTTGCACAGAGACTACGGGTTTGCAATCTTCGTGGCTTTGTTCCTGACAAGCAGTCTCTTTTACAGCCAGTTCGTCATCATTCACCTCGAAAACAGCTCGATTCACTATACTGGCGGTCCGATTTTGGGCCGCGTCTTGGCAGCACCCTTCAGGGCTGCTTTGGAGAGCGCCGAGCGTGGCACTGCCACGATGGCCTGGGAGGGCATCTTAGTAGCTGAGTGAGTACACTTTACGCCTGATGGGATAGTATAATCCCCTATAGAACTAAAAACATGTACACTTTTTTGGGGGCTTATATGAACTCAGCAACCAAGGAATGATGCAGGCGGAGCAGCAAATCGAAGCACCCGGCACGGGGCTCGTGGCGCCTTATGGGATGGTTCTGGCAAGTAAACTGACCCCGTTTCAAGCGCTGGCCGCTTCTTATGGCTTATATAGCTCAGCACGGGCGATTGCGACCGGGCACATGGAGTCTTGGTCAGGCAGAAAAGCTGTGGCGTTCCGAGCTGCCCGCCCGAAGTATTTCGCCGCACTCCAGCTGCTTGGGTAGGGTCTTGGGATATTTTCATACTTGGAGGTTTAGGGTACTTTAGAACCCACATGATAACTGTATTTATAAGCCCCTTGAGTCCGCGATCTCCTCGAGTAGGTTATAAGTAGGCTTCTACTTGGGGTTCTAAGTATCCATGAACCTCCAAGCATTCTTTCGCCTTCTGGGGTTTCAGAGCGTCAGAGCGTCGCAATTTGGGAATCGTTTTCACCTAGGCTGTGGCTCCTGATCTCAAGCTTCGGAGAGCTGGCCCTCTTCGCTGTTGTCAGCCGCGTTCTTCACCCCTCTGTGCCCATCATGTTTTTTCTCCTGGCCGCCATGGTCAATAGGCACACTGACGAGGGCACACAGTCCGACTCAAAATGTCAAGCTTGCTGCGCGTCGTTGATCCTTGTGGCAAACTGCATGTTTGGACTGCACACCACGCCCGCCGGCCTGAAACACCAGGACCGCCACGCTGGTGCCGGATGGCCCGAGGCTACTGATATTTGCTTATAAGAACCCTCCCAAAAACAAAAGGTATTCTTCCTCATAAGGGTAATAAAAGGAGCATGCTTTTCATTTTTTTTTTTGGGGGGGGGGGGGTTCTTAAGCAACTAGTCTAGGCTACATTCTTGGTGGTGCGCCTGCTGGCGTTGGTGGGCCTTTGCTTCTTGAACCTGCCAAATGGCTTATTGCCCGTTGCGTCTTTAGGACGTCCCATGGGCTGGCCAGTGCTAGAGGATGAGTTTGTGTCCCCACTGCTCGCCGCTGTCGATGCCGCAGTCAGCTGCGGTGCTGAACTTTTCGCACGCCACGTTGAGAACTGCAGCTTCCTTGGTGTGGAAGACAAGACCCCTGGGTCCACCGCATTCAATGCGGTGGTTGTGGGTTTTGCCATCGTCTGCGTACCGATACAGGTTCTCACCACTGCGGCCCAACTTGCTTGCAACAGCTACTTTCGGACAGGTGCAAAGAACACGGAGTTGGCAGAAGAAGTGAGGCAAAAGGATGCCGAGATTCGCGCTTGGACAGAACACCACTTAGACGTCCTGTACCCAAAACGGGTGGAGGACCGGCATCTGTCCAACTTTGCTTTCGGTTACTGATCGAAAGGAGAGGGCCCTGGGATACTTTCGTCAGAGCTAAGTTCTCAAAGAGTCGATCTCAGCATTCTGTCCCTAAGTGCCCCTAAACCCTAAACCCTAAACCCTAAACCCTAAACCCCAAACCCCAAACCCCAAACCCCAAACCCTAAACCCTACCCTGAAGCCCTCGCAGCCTTGCCTGCAAGGTTGATCTTCCCAACTCGTAGCCTTCTGCCAAGTGAGCTCCTGGAGTTCATATTGAATAGGGGGGTTTTCGAAAATCGGGGTACCCCTTGTTACCCTAAACCCTAAACCCCAAATATAGTAGATTCTCGGAAGCCCCCGTATCTACACTCTCCTGAGTAAGCCGTGTTTTCCTTTTCTTATATGGTGTGGGGTTTAGGGTTTAGGGTTCAGGGTTCAGGGTTCAGGGTTCAGGGTTTAGGGTTTAGGGCTTAGGGTGTTGGGTAAGGAGGAGCCTAGGGTGCCAATATGGTACCTGTGTGGTATAATCGGTTGAGTGCAGGGCGTCGGATTTGCAGATTTGTTTATGTGTATGCGGTTTTGTGGGCCCCTATTTTCCGAAACCCTCAAGCGGGCGTGCAAGCCCTGTGTTTTTTTGCAGTAACACTCCCCCACCCCCCCGCCCCCCCCAAACTCTGTATAAACCCTAAACCCTAAACCCTAAACCCTAAACCCTAAACCCTAAACCCTAAACCCTAAACCCTAAACCCTAAACCCTAAACCCTAGCCCTAAACCCTAAACCCTAAACCCTAAACCCTAAACCCTAAACCCTAAACCCTAAACCCTAAACCCTAAACCCTAGCCCTAAACCCTAAACCCTAAGCCCCACAAGTCGAGCTGCTGAGCGATTCCACGTGGAGTTTTATGCATGGCGACCTCTTTGGCTTCGAGGGCTTTGGATGAAAAACCTCACCAACCCCCCCAAGAACTGCCCGCAGGTTCTAGGGTGCAGGGTCTAGGGCAGGTTAAAGTGTGGTTGAGGGTTTAGTTTAGGGTTTAGGGTTTAGGGTTTAGGGTTTAGGGTTTAGGGTTTAGGGTTTAGGGTTTAGGGTTTAGGGTTTGGGGTTTGGGGTTTGGGGTTTGGGGTTTAGGGTCAGGGCAGGTTAGAGCAGGGTGTAGGGTCTTGGGCTTAGGGCTTTAGTGCCTTTGAAACCCTGGGTGCATTGTCTCGAGGATCCTGCGGCAGATTTCGATTTAGAGCAGGAGTTGGCCAACGAGGCTTGAGGAAGATGGGGGTGTGGGGGTTTAGGGTTTAGGGTTTAGGGGTTTAGGGTTAGGGTTTACTTTTGTTTTTTTGTTGGGGGGGGGGGGGGGGCTCTCACTGTTGAGTTGAGACTTGCGTACAAATTGTGTTAGGGTTTTGGTGGTGAGGGAGCCCGAAACCCCAATTCCTAAACCCTCAAACAGCATCTGGCAGCGACTCTCCGAAGCATGCTGCTTGGGATGAAAGGTTACCTTAGGGTTTCGGGTTTAGGGTTTAGGGTTTAGGGTTTAGGGTTTGGGGTTTAGGGTTTGGGGTTTAGGGTTTAGGGTTCCTTCTCCAGGGGAAAAACACAGTTCAGGCGTGGAGCGAGAGAGCGAGTGAGAGAGAGAGGGAGAGAAAACAGAGAGAGAACCAAAGAAACGGTGTGTGGGTGGGGGGTCGGTATTGGAGGAAGTCCGTTCCCGAAGTATACAGTCCTGGCATGTGCAAGCTGTACATCCCTGTGTATATATGTAAGACACGATCTGTGTGTGTGTGTGTGAGTGTGCGTGTATTGCTCTTGTTTTAGGTGCCCATGTGTGCGTGCTTAAAAGTTCAGCATCGCTAGCCCAAAGTGTCCTATGCATTGCAAGAAATATGTTGTCTCTTGCATGTGGCTCTCAACTTGGAAAGCCGTTTTTGCTACTTTCACAAAGGCCAGCACTCCAGGGACACCGAAATTCCATTCATAGGCCCCATAGTAATCCCACATTCTATCCCCAAATTAAAGCGTATTATATACATAGAAACATATATTTCTATATATATTTCTATATTGTTACAGCCGGCCCCATGCTCCCTAGACCCCATGCTCCCTAGGGTCGATTGTTTTTTTTGCCGTGTCTCTTGGCAGGGTTCTTAAGCGAAAAGTTACTTATCAGCAGCCCTAGTTTACTTGTAGGTTCATTAGGCTACTTCTACCCCCCCCAATTAGCAGTCTACTTCGAACCTACTCAGAGGGCCCAGGGGACTTAGCGGGCTTAGAAGTGCAGTTATAGTTGGGGTTATAAGTCCCAGAACCTGCAAGTAGATCCCCTCCCCAAACCCCCGCTTGCGTCAAGCCTTGTGTTAGCAGCCACTAAACCCTAAACCCTAAACCCTGAACCCTAAACCCTAAACCCTAAACCCTAAACCCGCAGCCACGGGCTCCCGCAGCCACTTGTTCTTGAAAAGCTACTGCAAGCCCCCGAAACCTCAACCCTAAACTCGTAATCCCTCTAAACACTCCTAGAGGGGTTTAGGGTTTAGGGCTCTAAGCCCAGATTAGAAGCCCCTAAAACCCCCATCAACCTGTTCGCCCAAAAAAGACCCCGACACCCCAGACTTTCGGGGGCTTAGGGTTTAGGAATTAACGGGGCTTCAGGGGCCCGATGCAAAAGTTGGACATTTTTTTTGGCACCCTCTTAACACGAATGGACTAGGATAGAGAGAGCCTAAGACAGGGCAGGGCCCATAGATGAGCCCCCCCCCCCCCCCAAACCCCACCCAATGTACTGATATAAAAAGCCCCAAGCCCCAAGCCCTAAGCCCTTAACCCTAAACCCTAAACAACCCTAAACCCTAAGAACTCCCCTGGTTGGGGCACATGGCGGCCAATGCCGGCCTGCGCCCTTCCCGGCGGAGCCAAGCTCCTCGTCAGGGCTTCCTGTGGCGAGGGATTTTGGGGTTTGAGAACCCTAAACCCTAAACCCTAAACCCGAAACCCTAAACCCTAAACCCTAAACCCTGAACCCTGAACCCTAAACCCTAAACCCTGAACCCGAAACCCTAAACCCTAAACCCTAAACCCTACTCGGGGGTTCGGGGTCGAGGCTTAGAGGGTTCAGATTCCGAGGGACCTCTAAACTCATGTCAAAGGCTTCCAGGAGTTCCTCGAAAGCCACTTGAACTGGGAGGTTCACGGGTACATTGTAGGTGGTTTAGGGTTTGAGTTTAGGTTTAGGGTTTAGGGTTTAGGGTTTAGTGTTTAGGGTTTAGGGTTTAGGGTTTAGGGTTTATAGTTGGGGTTAGAAGTACCCGCCAAGAAAGCTTCGGAGAACCTGAGCCCTCGCATCGTGATTCTTTTCTTGCGGGTTGCGGGTGTAGGGGGTGTAGGGTTTTAGCCCCAAACCCTCAACCCTAAAGCCTAAACCTAAACCCTAAACCCAAAATCCAAAGCCCTAAGCCCTAAACCCTAGACCCTAACCCTTAAACCCTAAACCCAGCACCTTACATAAACCCATTACCCACCCGCCCAAAGCCTGAAGTTCGAGGTCCTGGCAGAGCTGGAGCGCCTCAAGGTACGACTTGCTGGCTGGGGTTGGGTTCAGGGTTCAGGGTTCAGGGTTCAGGGTTCAGGGTTCAGGGTTCAGGGTTCAGGGTTCAGGGTTCAGGGTTCAGGGTTCAGGGTTTAGGGTTTAGGGTTTAGGGTTTAGGGTTTAGGGTTTAGGGTTTAGGGTTTAGGGTTTAGGGGCTTAGGGGCTTAGGGGGGGTTTGGGGTTTAGGGTTTAGGGTTTAGGGTTCAGGGTATGTTTGATTGGGCCGTATTTGGGCAGGGCAGAGCTAGGAGTGGGAGCAGTACTCTTAGACCCTTCGACCCCGAACCCCTAAGCCCTAGCCCTCCATCTCCACACCACCTAGGACCCTTAATTCCCTTTTTACAGGGTTTAGGTTCCCTTGTACGACCCTTGAAGCCAAAGAGGGGCACCCTCTATCTATTCCAGGCTACTCTTGGGTCTAGCCGCCGAGCCCTAAAATGACCCGAAATTCGCCTCAGCCGTGCAGCCATAGAGCCCCCCTAAACCCAAACCAACCGCAAATCCCAAAGTCCGAATCCCAAACCGTAAGCCCTAATCCCCAAAAACCCTGTTCAGGGTTTACGGGGCTCAGTGGTTCAGGGTTTAGGTTTTAGGGTTGATGGTTCAGGGTTTAGGGGGGTTTAGGGTTTGTGGTTTCCCGAATTGTATATAAGCCCCTAGTTCCCGGGACCCAAATTATCCGCCTCCGTCTGAAAAAGGCCTGGCGAGCGCAGGCCGTTGGCGTGGAGGCGGAGAGCCACTCGGAGCGACGGGGAACGGATGAGGGTTTTTGGGGGTTTGAGGTTGGGATGTTCCCCCGGAATTCTAGCACCCCCTATTCAAAGCCCTATTAAGGACTGTCAGTGGGTTTTTGGGTTTGGGGTCTACGGGTAGGGGTTTTAAAGGCATTGGTGGTTTCTGAGTTTGGTTTTTAGGTTGTAGGGTTTACCCCAGAAGTCTAAAAGAGACCATGAGCGGTATTTGGTTTTTCGGGTTTGAGGGTTGAGGTTTCAGGCTTTTGGTTAGCAGTTGTGAAGGTCTCCCTCAAGACGCCATTCTGGCACTCGGAGCGGTTTGGGTTGTCTTGCTGTGTGGCCTCTAAACCCTAAACCCTAAACCCTAAACCCTAAACCCTAAACCCTAAACCCTAAACCCTAAACCCTAAACCTTGTGAACCCCTTGAACCAATGAGAAAGCCATCAACCCTAAACCCTGAACCCTAAACCCTAAGCCCTAAACCCTAAACCCTAAACCCTCATCGAAACAGCACCCAGGCTTGGACACAGCCATTGAGGCCGGAGTTCAGCATTGAGGGTTCGTGAGGTTGCGGTTTTGGGGCGGTCTTGGGTTTCAGGTTCTATTTGAAGGGTTTGGGGGTTAGGGTTTAGGGTTTAATGATCTTCAGGGTACTCATAACCCCAAGTATAACTTATAACTGTACTTATAAGCCCCCTAAGTCCCCTAAGTACTCTAAGTAGGTTATATGCAGACTCATAATTGGGGTCATAAGTACCCATGAACCTCCAAGTAGGGTTGAGGGTTGAGGGGCCAGTGTCCGGGGTTGGGGATGAGGGAAAAATCTGATCGCTGTACCGGTCTGACCATCCAGACAAATTTCAGGGAGCACATCATGCTGCAGCCCGGCCTCCCAACGGTGCGGATTGGGAATTCATGGACATGTTGTAGCCATTTGGCTAGATTTCCCACCATAAAGCTTTCATTTCCCCCCTCCCCGCCCCCCCAATTCCACCCACAGAACCAGGAGCCTAAGTAGCGACGATCTATCTCTTGTAAAGTGGAACCTAGACTGCACTACCTTGCCAGAATCGAAGAGGTCACCGTGCTACAGAACTACACCCATCCTATACCCCAATCCCTGAAGCCAAAGCGCCGGGCTGTAAGGATGCGGACTGTGGCTGTCCTTGACTCACATCTGAAACAGGAAGCTTCCCCGCGAGAAAGCCACGGTATTGTTATTATTGTTCCAATTGTTATTGTTGCTGTTCTTAATATGATAGCTATCGTTATGCATGAGTATATGAATGCTCATATAATTGCTTTCGTAACGATAAGTATCACCGATTCTGAGATCGTCCTGTGCGCCTTGGAACCCTAATGCTTGCCGCTGCATGCTGACTTCTGATTAGCAACGCCCCCGCCATCCCCACATCACAGTCTCCCAAGGCAGTTGGCCAAGTGACCCGGGCAAAGATTTGTTTAGGGTTTTAGGGTTTAGGGTTTAGGGTTTAGGGTTTAGGGTTTAGGGTTTAGGGTTTAGGGTTTGTTAAGTGACCCAAACCGTGCTGGAGTCGGATTTGCTAGGTGGCCGCAAAAAGATCTGCTAAGCGACCCGGGCACCAACCCTAAACCCTAAACCCTAAACCCTAAACCCCAAACCCCCCTGCTCAGCGAAACCTCGCAAGGCCCTGGTGTTCGCCCTTCGCTGCCCACCACAGCCGAGGGTGGAGGAGCCCAGTGAGGCACTACCCACTCAGGGGCCTACCCATGAACCCCCAAGTACACCCCAGACCCTAGACCCTATACCCGAAACCCCAAACCCAAAACCCTAAACCCTAAACCCTAAACCCTAAACCCTAAACCCTGTGAGCTCAATCCCTTCCACCGACTGAGAGGCCTGGAAGGAATGGGCATCCCTGGCTGTGGCCTTCGTCGATGCAACGCGACACCAGCGGATTGAGGAGGACTTCTGAGCGTTTGAGGTTTTTAGGGCTTTAGGGCTGAGGGTTTAGTGTTTGAGGGTTTCAGGGTTTTCGGGCTTTATAAGGTCAGGGATTTGGGGTTTAGTGTTTGAGGGTTTTGTGTTTTTAGGGCTTTAGAAGGGTTTGGGGTTTAGGGATTTGCGGTCAGGGTTTAGGGTTTCAGGGTTTTAGGGTTTTAGGCCTAGGCTTTAGGAGTAGGACTCAGGGCTTAGGATGTAAGACTTCGAATATAGGCGCCCCCTGTGGCATCCTTCCTTCGCCTTGACAGGGCCCATGAATGTATTCCAGTCTGCTGGGGAACCCTAAACCCTAAACCCTAAACCCTAAACCCACAACCCTAAACCCTAAACCCTAAACCCTAAACCCTAAACCCTAAACCCTAAACCCTAAACCCTAAGCCCTAAACCCTAAACCCTAAACCCCCTAAACCCTAAACCCTAAACCCTAAACCCTAAACCCTAAACCCTAAACCCTAAACCCTAAACCCTAAACCCTAAACCCTAAACCCTAAACCCTAAACCCTAAACCCTAAACCCTAAACCCTAAACCCTAAACCCTAACCCTAAACCCTAAACCCTAAACCCTAAATGGGCTGGCAAGCTTAAGAGGAGTCGCCTGAAGAGCACGAGGGTGACCTCAGCGGCAGCGACACGCGAGAGAGGGAAGGCTCTGTCGAGGACTGCTGGAACCTTCATGTGGGTGTTGGTAGGGTTTAGGGTTTAGGGTTCAGGGTTAAGGGTTTAGGGTTTAGGGTTTAGGGTTTAAGGTTCTTTGCAGATGCCCCTTTTCTTTTGAACATGGCCACCTGGGCCGATCTGGAACAGTCAGAAATATCTGCTCACCTGGCTGATGGAAAGTTGCGAAGGACAGTAGCGGTTCAGGGCTTCATCTCCCCACATATGACCCACACCCAAACAGCACGCTTCGCAGGACGAACTTCGCGAGCCTCCCCAGGAAGAGGTGGAGGGCGAGGCAGACCATGCCGATGAGGCAGACCTGGAGTTGGAGGGTGAGGCATAGGGGGGCTTTGCCGAAATTGGGGGGGGGGGGGGGGGGGGTACCTTCTTGGGGGGGTGCTTTTTTTAGGGCAACCTACTCTTTTGGAGGGGTCTATATTAGCGGTCCCCTTTTCTCGTAAACCCCCATATGACCCAAAACCCTAAACCCTAAAACCCTGAAACCTTAAACCCTAAACCCTAAACCCTAAACCCTAAACCCTAAACCCTAAACCCTAAACCCTAAACCCTAAACCCTAAACCCTAAACCCTAAACCCTGAGCAGGCGGACATGGAGGTGGAGATGGCCACACATCTTGCCGAGGATGCGCAGGCGGAACGGGAGCTGACGGCACACTTCGAGGAGGAGGAGGAGGAGGCAGAAGTGGAGTCCATCCAGGCCATGGTGTGGTTTAGGGTTTAGGGTTTAGGGTTTAGGGTTTAGGGTATGGGGTTTAGGGTTTAGGGTTTAGGGTTTAGGGTTTAGGGTTTAGGGGATGGGGGGTCCCAGATTGCCTTCTGAAATTGATTAGTTGCTTGCAAAGTTCATAGAACCCGGAACCGCGATGCCTAAGGTTCATCTACACCCTCTTTTTGTAACCCTGCAATGCCAAGGACCTCGTTTCTTGCGTTGTTAAGGGCTCTCGTGTACCACATTGCCGCGCCCTGTATGCTCAACATACACCTACTCGTCGGGAAGTTGCCACTGACACCCGCCGCTTCCAAGTCTGTAACGGCGCGGGAGCTTCAAAATCCTTGGTGATCGAACGTTTTAGGGATTGCAGTATCTGTTGGAAGCCCAAAACTGGCTACCCAGAGAGCTCAATACCCCTTAACAAAGCACCATAGTTTAGATTCTAGTAGGGGTTCTTCATGTTGTTTACTGCAGGTTCTTTGATTAAGGGGGTAATTCTTGGGCTCTTTGGGTACCCCAGTATGGTGGCACCGGCTACCGAGGCGGAGGTATTTCCAGGGCTCTCAAATGACAAATAAGGTGACTCCTGCACCCTGAAAGCTACCCAGATCCTTAATAGACTTAAGTTCCCATACAATATTCACGAACCCAAAGCATGGAACCACATTTAAGGCGTAAGTGTAAGCTTTGTGCAGACTCAGGAAACGGTGCTCAAGCAAGCAACCAAGTACATGTTCTCCCTGAACCGCAACTGAGAACCAGTAGGTAAGTCCTCTGAACCAGAGGTGGAAGGTAAGGCACGGCTATACCTCAACGCTTAGGGTGTCTAGGCCTTAGGGTTTAGGCTATTAGGGTTAGTTGTACCTCCCTGCTTCATTTGTTTTTGGGGGGAGAGCCGCACTAAAACCAATCCGGAAACCCCAAAACCTTATTCCCTTCTGAGCCGTTACGCGGGCTCCAAGGACTCTTGCTTCCAGGCTTCTTGGGCCAGAGGCCATACTACATAAGGTTTTGGGGGCCTAATTCGCGCCTAAGGGACCCTTAAGGCCCGAAGCCTTAAACCCTAAACCCTAGCCCTACACACCCTAACCCCTAAGCCAACCCAAACCCCAAACCCCAAACCCTAAACCCTAAACCCTAAACCCTAAACCCTAAACCCTAAACCCTAAACTGTAAACCCTGAGGGTTCCCCGCCAAAAGGTTCCAGGACCGGTCGCGCAAGCTCCGCCCTCGCTGGGCGCTGCTGGCGCTGAGCCAAAGCAGCAGGAGGCGCGAAATTTGCTACTAGGGTTTAAGGTTTAGGGTTTAGGGTTTAGGGTTTAGGGTTTAGGGTTCAGGGTTTATGGTTTAGGGTGTAGGGTTTAGGGTTTAGGATGGTAGGCCCTTGGGACATTTCGTCTTTCCTTCATTGGGTTCAAGAGGACCATACTCAGGAATATTTGCCGAGGGTTTTCAGGTCCATCCTAGTTGCTTAACCTTGGGGCCGACATGAACCCTAAAATTGGGGTCATATACCCTATACTACTAGAATTCCTATTAAGGTATATGAACCATAAACCCCTTTAGGGTTCATTTCGTCCCCAAGGAAGACCTCACCAATAATCGAAAATGTTCTTCCTTGCAAGGGCAATATAGGAAGTAGGGTTTAGGGTTTAGGCGGTTTAGGATTTGGGGTTTTGGGGGGTTCTTAAGCACATCGTAGTTTGCAGGGCTTCCGGCAGCTGAGGGGTTGAGACTTTATAGGGGTTTAGGGTATTTAGACTTTATAGGGGTTTGGGGTGCGTAGAGATTGGGTTGGGGGTTGGGGGGGGGGGGGATGGGGACGTTGAAGGTTATTCGTGTACGGTTTGGTTTAGAATGCAAGGGACATGGGGGGTTTCCAGACCTTAGGGGGTTAGGCTTTATAGGGTTTAGGGTTCAGGGTTTGGGGTCTTCAATTTACATCTTAGGTTGGGATGTTCCCCTCGTGTTCTGACAGTCCTCAATAGGGATTATCATGGGGGGGGTACTAGAATCCCAATTCAGCACTGCTAGTATAAGGGCGACATCCCAATCCTGAACCCGGAGGATGGTAGAGCCAAGGTTTTCCCATTCTTTTACCTTTTGAAGCCCCGAGAAGTGGGGCTTGGGAGCCTGGCATCAGCATTCAAAATTTCACGGGTTCGGGGCTGGATCTGTGCATGGTTTTATACCCTAAACCCTAGCCCTGAACCTTAAACCCGAAACCCTAAACCCTGTCCTTGGGGCTTCGGGGCTTCACCCTTTTAGTTCTCCCCGGCGAGGCGCCCCGCCAGGCATTCTACGCTCAACTCGGCGTACGGCTCCGCCACTTGGGAGAACTGCGAGGGTCGATAGCCCAGGTGGCACCGAATCACTTTGTGGGTTTAGGGATGTTTAGGGCTTAGGGTTTACGGTTTAGGGTTTAGCGATTGTGGGTTTAGGGTCTCCCCCCCAAAAAAAGAAACATGCCCTTATTATGATGTGGTCAGTGTTAAGTCTTAAGTTGATGGCGCCAAACCTTATACGCCTTCTACGCGAAACCACAAATATACCCTCGATGTACACGAAACGTTAAACTCTGAACCATATACCCTAAACTCTAAGCCCTATGCCCCACACGCTAAAGCTTCGGGTTTAGGGCTTCGGGCTTATAAGCTTAGGGTTTAGGGTTTCGGGTTTAGGTACCGGAGAGCTGAGGCAAAAGGGAGGTGGTGCCTGAGCGCGTGGAGCCTCTGGACCCTGTCAGCGGACCTCCCCGTGGACCTGCGGGGCAAGTGCTGGAGACTGGGCAACAAAGTTCCTTAGGGGTACTTGGGAAAGATTTTTTTAATTTTTGGGCACTCTATATAATTCCTAAGAAACAGCTAAAACCATGATTTTTGCTATTTTGGGGGCACTATAATTCCTGAGAAACAGCTAGAATTTTATGTTCTGCTAGGGTTCCAAGTTCAGTACAGGTTCCAGCAGCTTGGATCCTCGGTAGCCTAGTGGCGCCCTTTTCCCTTGTTCTTTTTTTTGGGGGGGGGAGCTCTTGGCTCCCTTATAAAGCTACCAACCCCAAAAAGGGGGGGCCCTTGTTATGATATGGCTCCTGGGCTGCCAAGGATCTGTTGGTGCCTCCGCCTCTGCTGATTCCGGATGTCGGATGCAGAGACGTGGAAGACGTGGGAGACCTGGTGGACGAGCCCTGCCTGCACCCGCTGGACGTGCCGAGGCTGCAAGCCAGTACTACTTCGGAGTTCACCTTTTTGTTAATGCCTTTTTTATGGTTTATAGTAGGGTTTTTTGGTTTTGCATGTAGTCCTACTACAAAGACAAGGTTGACTGTTTTCGGGCTAGGGTATTCAGCCCCTATAAACGCCGCCGTCAGCAGAATTTCTGGCATGTGTCTGAAGTCCAACCCCCCCCCCCCCGGATTAGGGTTTAGGGTTTAGGGTTTGCCTCCTGTGTTTAGAATTGCTCTGCCCTTGAGAGGCAGAAAAAGCGCAGGAGCACTGCGCTAGCCCACGCCGCCAGGGCCACAACCAGGCCCGGAAATGGACGACTTGGGAAGCTTTCCATGCCGAGCCAACAAAAACCCCGTAATTCTGATTGTTCAGCCCTTAGCTTTTTCCTTCCGGAAACCTACTTGTGGCGTCCCTCGACAACTAAAAACCCCAAACCCTAAACCCGGCCCAGCACCCCTCACTTCTGTTGGGGCAGGCGGGTGCAGTCGACAAGCCCCAGTGCCATTTTCGGGGGGGAGGGGGAAGTTTGGCCCGCAGGGGTGGGGGAGGGGGAAGTTGGGGGGGGGGGGGGGTTGGTGGGGGGTGGGGGGGGGGGTGGGGGGGGTGTGGGGGGGGGTGGGGGGGGGTGGGGGGGGTGGGGGGGGGTGGGGGGGGGGGTGGGGGGGGGGGGGGGGGTGGGGTGGGGGGGGGGGAGGGGAGGGGGAAGTTCCCGAAGTTGGGTTTAGGGCTTAGGGGTACTTATTTCGGATGAGATTAGTTTGGCACATACAGACTCCATACGCATGCAGCCCGAAACCGTTCTACTCGGAAAGTGCTTGAGATTTCAATCTTGGGGTTACATGGTCCCGCAATATGGGCCCTTAAAAGGGAACCCCTTTTGTACCCCTTATATACACCCCAGAAAACTAAGGGCCCGTTCAAGCCCTAAACCCTAAACCCTAAACCCTAAACCCCAAACCCTAAACCCTAAACCCCAAACCCTAAACCCTATACCCTAAACCCTAAACCCTAAACCCTAAACCCTAAACCCTAAAAACCCTAAACCCTAAACCGGCTCAGATGGCCCCCGACCTCGTGCCCGTCCCGGAGCCGCCAGAGCTGGCGCCCTTATTGGCACCCGAGGATGCGGAGGTACGGTTGGAGGCGCGGGGGTGGGGGTTTAGGGTTTAGGGTTTATAAGGGTTTAGGGTTTTGGGTTTTGGGTTCAGGTTTTAGGGTTTAGGGTTTAGGGAGTTTAGGGCTGAACAATCGGAACGCCTCCGCAAGGACAAGAGTCCCGAATCCCTTGAACTTGCCGCTTGTTGGTTCATGCCCCCCCCCCCCCCCCCCCGCGACACTTTCACAGTAGGAAGCTGTCGTTTTGGGAATTGAACTCTCATCTCCAAACCATCAAAGGGGAAAGCCTCGCAAACCCTCAATCCTAAACCCTAAACCCTAAGTCCTGATCCCTGAATCCTAAACCCTATATCCTAAACCCTAAACCCTAAACCTTAAACCCCTAAATCCTCAATCCTAAGCCGCCTCAGATGGCCCCCGGCCTGGTGCCCGTCCCGGAGCCGCCAGAGTTGGCGCCCTTGGTGCCTGAGCCTGCAGAGGTGCGATTGCGCAGGGTTGGGTTTCGGGTTTAGGGCTAGGGTTTAGGGTTTAGGGTTTAGGGTTGGAAAATCGGAATGCCTCCCAAATGACAACAAGAATCCCAAATCCCTTGAACCTGCCGCTAAGTCTCCGCTAAGTCCTCAAGCCTCAGCCGCCTCAGATGGCCCCTGGCCCGGTGCCCGACCCGGAGCTGCCAGAGTTGGTGCTCTTGACGCCCGAGCCTGCAGAGGTACGATGACACAGGGTGTGTAAACACTGGCTTAGGGTTGAGGGTTTAGGTTTAGGGCTTAGGGTTTAGGTTTAGGGTTTAGGGTTTAGGGTTTGGGGTTTGGGGTTTGGGGTTTGGGGAGGGTTCAGAGTTTAGGGTTTAGGTTTAAGTTTAGGGTTTGTAAGGGTGTAGCGTGTATAGGGGTTAGGGGTTGAGGTTCAAACGTCTAAACGTGTCGCGCCACGGAGCGGCTCGATCTGCAGAAGGTGTTTTTGTTCCCTAAATTTACTAAAGCCTGCACACTAAACCCCAAACCCTAAACGAGGCATCTTAAACCCTAAACCCTAAACCCTAAACCCTAAACCCTAAACCCTAAACCCTAAACCCTAAACCCTAAACCCTAAACCCTAAACCCTAAACCCTAAACCTAAACCCTAAACCCTAAACCCAGTTCCTCTGAGCGCCCGAAGTAGCTCTTTGGGCTCCTTCTGGGGATTGAGGGTTTCAGGGTCGACAGGGAGGCTGCCTCTGTCGCCGCCCAAAGGGATCCTATTTATTCACATGCCCGGAATGCGGTTCAGGGTTTGGGGCTTAGGGTTCAGGGTTTAGGGTTTAGGGTTTGGGGTTGAGGGTTCAGGGTTTAGGGTACCCGGATGGGCTATTAGGCCCTACAATCCCCATAGTCAACCCTATAAAGACCTTGTTTAAGAGGCTATAGGGTATAATCGCCCATGCCCATGCAGGCGCTTGTTGGTATATGTACCCGGAACACGTTCAAAGCTCGAAGCTTTGTCCTGCAATGGTTTATGCAAGAAATGTGTCCCCTTACTACAGGAGAATCCCTGTGAACCCTCAACTCTCAACCCTAAACCCTAAACCCTAAACCCTAAACCCTAAACCCTAACCCCCAAACCCCAAACCCTAAGCCCTAAACCCTCAACCCTCAACCCTAAACCCTAAACCCTAAGCCCTAAGCCCTAAACCCTAAACCCAACCTACGTCAGATGGCCCCCGGCCTGGTGCCCGTGCCCGAGCCACCGGAGCTGGCGCCCGAGCTGGCGCCGGAGTTGGCGCCGGAGCCGCCGGAGGCGCCCTTGGAGGGGTTTAGGGTTTCGGGTTTAGGGTTTAGGGTTTAGGGTTGAGGGTTTAGGGTTTAGGGTTTAGGGTTTAGGGCTCGCCGTGAGCTACTTTAGTGTATCATAAGTAGGGTCATAATATGTTGATATATAGCCTTCTTTCGAAGTACTGACTCTACCCATCAAAAGAATCATACCCATGAACCTTCCACTCCCGAAGAAAGGATTGCAAGGGGCGCAACATACCACCCTTACACCCCCCCCCCTGGCTCCCTGTGGTTGAGGGGATCGAGCGATTCAAATGCTTCGTGCTTTGCACTTGACGTCAAAGCCTAGGTCCTAGATCTTCCCTAAACCCGAAACCCTAAACCCTAAACCCTAAACCGAAGGTCGAGACAGGGTTTGGCTCTGGATCGACCGAAAACCCTAAGCCCTAAACCCTCAAACCCTAGTCATGGTAGCGCCTTACCATGAATCCCTCATAATCTCAGCACATGTATACCCAAAGCCTTTAAGGGTGGGGTTGCGGGTTTAGGGTTTAGGGTTTAAAGGTTTACGCTCGAAATAGCCCCAGCGCCTCAGATGGCATGGCTTTTGGGCCCCTATAGAAAGCCTTAATATGAGAGTCCTTAGCCTTAGGGCTGGGAGCCCCTTATAGCCCTTGACTCCATACTTGGAGGTTCAGGGTACTTCTAACCCTACTTGTAACTGCACCTTTAAGCCCCCTAAGTCCCCCAAAATCCTCTAAGCATTCTAATGGGGGCCTAAACCCCAAACCCCAAACCCCAAACCCGAAACCCCAAACCCCGAACCCCAAACCCCAAACCCCAAACCCGAAACCCCAAACCCCAAACCCCAAACCCCAAACCCTGCCCTCAAGATGCCACCTGGCCTGGCGCCCTACCCGGAGCCGGTGGACTCACCCTCGAAGTCCGAGCCTGCAGAGGTGCGGTTTAAGGCCCGGCTGGAGGGTTGGGGTTTAGGGTTTAGGGTTTAGGGTTTAGGGTTTAGGGTTTAGGGTTTAGGGTTTAGGGTTTAGGGTTTAGGGTTTAGGGAGTCGTCCGAGGGTTGAACGTTTGATTATTTTGTTTTTTTTTTCTTTTTTTGTGTGGAGGGGGGGGGGGTATCGAGGTGTTTAGGGCTTGTGCCAGAGACTATGGGCACAAGTGAGGATGCGGGGGTCATAAGGTTGGGCACAAGGACTGAAGGGCCTCAAAATTTCAAGACTCGCTGACCCTAAGCCCTGGTTGGCCTAGACCCAAGCAGCTAAGACCCGGCTTAGGGTTTAAGGTTTAAGGTGTAAGTAAGGTGTAGGGCTCCAGGAGGTTTTGGGACCCTTAAACCTTAAACCCCAAACCCTAAGCCCTAAACCCAAAACCTCCTCAGACGCCCCCTGGCCTGGAGCCTGCCCCGGAATCTGGGGAGTCGGCGCCCTCGGCGCCCGAGCCCGCGCAGGTGCGCTCTCTCGGTACTCCGGTCCCTAACCCGGGTTTAGGGTTCAGGGTTAGGGTTTAGGGTCTAGGATACCTACATAGTTTTTTCTTGGGCCCTAACGCTACTATATAGGAACCCCTCTATAAGGCCCAAGTATATATCAAGGTACATGGACCCTTAGGGTAACATTCAATATATGTTTTCCCCTTGTAGGGTTTAAGGGTTGTAAGGGTTTAGGGGTTATGCCCATTGTAGCAAAAAGGGTTGAGGGTTTGGTGAAGGTTCAGGGTGCTGAGGGTTTAGGGTTCAGGGTCTGGGTTGAGGGTTTAGGGTTCAGGGGGTTCGATGGTTGGGACCTTTTTCGGGTCTTCGCCTGGAACCCCGCCCCGAAACCCGACTCCGACTTCGAAGCCGCAAGCTCCTCAGCCCCTAAACCCTAAGCCCTAAGCCCTAAACCCTAAACCCTAAACCCTAAACCCTAAAGGCCCTCAACCCCCCAGCCGCTCCAGACGTCCTCCGGCCTGGCGCCCGTCCCGGAGTCGGAGGAGTCGGCGCCCTCGGCGTCTTCGGCGCCCGAGCCGGCAGAGGCGCGACCGGTCCCCAGGGTTTAGGGTTTAGGGTCTAGGGTCTAGGGTCGAGGCTTATGTTTAGGGTCCCCGGCATTAAAACATGGACCTTCTGGAGTTTGGGGTTGTGGGTTTTGGGGTTTGGGGTTTGGGGTTTAGGGTTTGGGGTTCAGGGTGTAGGGTTTAGGGTTTTGGGTTTTTTCCAATATACACTTCGCAGGTCTAGGGATTCGGGGGCCTTTGGGGGTGCGCGGGGGGGTGGGGGGGGGGGGGGGGGTGGGTGTTGGCATGAGCCAGTCCCTTTCTTGGTGTTCCAAAACCTCGAGGTTTACATCGGCCCCTTGTCTTGTGGTAGTTTAAGGTTCGGATGCCGGAAGCTATGTCTTCATGGTAACCCAAAGCCCTAAACCCCAAACCCCACGAGGTTGTGTAGGGGTTAGGGGTTTGGAGTCTAGGGTGCCGATCAGAGAGGACCGTGTTTAGGGCTTAGGGGTTATGCATAGAGGGTGAAGTTAGGGTTTGGGGTTTAGGGGTTTGGGGCTTGGGGTTGAGGGTTGAGGTCTGTTGGGCTTAGGATTAACCAGGTGTTCGGGGCTTTCTGTCTTGGCTTGAACCAAGAGGATTGTACTTACGAGTTCTTGCAGAGAATTCTTTACAGCACCAACCGTGCCAGCCTGGTTCTTAGGTAGGTCCCCAAAATGAACGCACCCCAAACCCTTCAACCCCCCAACCCCTAAACCCTAAAACCTAAACCTTGAATCCTGAACCCTAAACCCTAAATCCTAACCCCTAAATCCTAAACCCTAAACCCAAAAGAAGGCTCCCTGGACTCCCTCACTGTGGCGCACCGAAGAAGCGCCCCCAGCCACGGGCCGTGACTGGCGACCTTCCTTGGCACCACTTTTGTTCCTTTGTGAGGTGTAAACTTGGGGATAGTTGGAAATAGTTCTTAATTGTTGGGTTCTTTAATTCCGAAGAAACAGCTAACATTTTCATGTTTGCTAGGGTTCCAAGTTCAGTATAGCAAAGGGTGTAGGGTTTATAGGGTTTGGGGTTTAGGGTTTAGGGTTTAGGGTTAGGGGTTTAGGGCAAATTCCGGATAGGCCTCAATCCTGAAGGCAACTGGCGCAGCCGACCCCGGCGCAGCCCAGCAAAGGAAAAGCAGCCCGGCACCGCGGCGCCTACTGCGGAGGAGTGGAGGGCTCATTTGGTTTGGGCTTTAGGGGTTCAGGATTCAGGGTTTAGGGTTTAGGGTTCAGGGTTCAGGGTTCAGGGTTTAGGGTTTAGGGTTTAGGGTTTTAGAGTATCGGGCGCTTGGGGTTTGGGGCCTCGATTTGGAGGTTCATGGGTACTTATAAGTAGGGTTACAAGTGCCCACAATTTGTTTACAGCCATATGGTTGCCCTACTTTCATTTTTAGCTTTAACCCTAATTTAAAGTACCCACGACCCGAGAACGCAAAAGCCCAAAAGCAACACCCCTCCTGAGCTGAAATCTCCCAAACCCCCGAAAGCTGAAACGCCCTGGATCGCGGGTCTTGAAAGAACGCCAAATCCGTACCCTAAGGCTCTAAGGCCTCTGATTTTAGGGTTTTTGGGCCAAACGGCCTTCTTATTTCAGGTTTTCGGGGGGGCCATTTTGAGCCTCAGGGTTAGGCTCAGTGTTTAGGGCACCCACGCAAGCCGCTCGAACGAAGAGGATGCGGCCAACTCCGCGCAAGCGCAGGATGACGTGGAGACGACGAAGGCAATCGGCTGTAAGCTGACTTGGAGCCTCATGGGTACTTAGAACCCCAATTAGAAGCCTACTCATAATCTACTTAGAGGACTTAGGGGACTTCGGGGGCTTCTAGGTACAGTGATAATTGGGGTTATGCGTACCCTGAACCTCCCAGTGCGGTTCTATGGAGGGTAAACATGGTTAGGGTACTTGTAAGGATACTTACAAGTACCTTTAGGGTATGGATCTTAGGGGCTTGCCAGAAGTTGGGAGACGTGGATTTTGGGGTTTGGGGTTTGCCATACTTGGCGAGATGTGAGGGTGCAAGGGCGACGGATAGGTTCATCACAGCCTTCTTAAGCCCTTCTGTATTCTGCAGTCCTCATCAACACAATATGTAACCCTAAACCCTAACTCCCCAGACCCTATCAACCCCTTAGCCCTCAGTAATTCCTGACCCGAAACCTTAACCCTGAACCCTAATCCCTAAACCCGAGAAGCCCTAGTGTTTGGGATTCAAGGGTTTCGAGCTTCGCCGGGTTTAGAGTTTAGGGCTTCGGGTTTCGGGTTCAGGGTTCTTTCCGTGAGGCCCTTCAATCTCCGCTGCCTTCGCAAGTGCTTTCTTTTCCCGTGGCTTCGGCTGTGTGATTAAAAGCAACCACGAGACCTGGACCAACAAATGCGCAGCACCCTCATCTTCAAAGGGTCGCAGCCGTGGCTCAGTGAACCCTAAACCCTAAACCCTAAACCCTAAATGCTAAACCCTAAAACCCCAAGACCCTAAACCCTAAACCCTACACCCTAAACCCTAAACCCTAAAACCCTGAACCCTAACCCTGAACCCTGAACCCTAAACCCTAAACCCTAAACCCTAAACCCTAAAGCCTCAGCCCTGAACCTGAACATGCAGTTCGGAGGAAGAGGATGTGCGCAACTCCTTGCAGCCGGAGGCAGAGCTGGAGACGGCGAAGGCCATGTTCTGTCTGAGGGCTTGAAGATTGTACGTCGGGTCAGCCCTAAACCCAACCCCTAAACCCTAAACCCTAAACGACGAGCAGCCCTACTTGGAGGTCTAATTGGGTACTTTTAAGCAGGATCTAGGGTTTTGGGTTTAGGGTTCAGGGTGTACTTGTTTTAGGTTTAGGGTTCAGGGTGTACTTAAGAGTAGGGTTACAAGTAGGGTAACTATGGTTATATCCTTATTTAGGGTACTTACAACCCTTTGCCGCCATTACTGCAGTGCGCCTTAGGGTGGTTACATGGTCCGGTCGCTAAATATGGTCCCTTGCCTTTTTGAGAAGAGTTTTTGGGAATCCATGGCTTTGGAGTGGTTAGGTCCTTGTGACATTTGAGGTTTTGCGTCTAGGGCATTCCTCTTACTCCAACAATATTGCTTACTCTCAGGACCGTTCTTACGATAAGTACTACTGAGTACTGCTAGTATTCTTGGTACTTGTAGGTTCGCTAGTAGTTATATTAGGGTTAAAGTACCCTAGATGACGAAACAACCATAGTTACCCTGCAGGATGTTCCCCCTTTATACTAACAGTCCTTAATAATTAGGGGGTATTGCAATCCCTGTGAGAATAAGGAACATCCCAAGCTACCTTACTTACTTCCACGTACTCAAATGAACCTCCAAGTAGGGGTCTAGGGTTTCATGGCTTGGGGCATCTAGTGGCTCTTAAAGGGGTTTAGGGTTTTCAAGTCTTGGTTGAGGTCGGGGTCTGGGGTTTCCGCAATTTGCCGGGTGTGCGTTTAGTTGTTGCTGGGCTTTGTTGGGGGTGAACCCTGCATGAGCCCTATACGAGCTTGGGGGTTCAGTGCTGCTGCTGCTGCTGCTGCTGCTGCTGCTGCTGCTGCTGCTGCTGCTGCTGCTGCTGCTGCTGCTGCTGCTGCTGCTGCTGCTGCTGCGCTTCAGGTTTTTCGGGTTTAGGGTCTAGGGCAACCCTAAACCCCATACCCTAAACTCCCTAAACTAGGGCTTTCGGGCAGTCCAGCACCGGCAAGCCCCTAATCAAGATGAGGCGACCCTACCAGCTTCCCAGCGAGCCCAAGGCTGCAAAGACGCATAGCCCCAACCATCCCCCCCCCCCAAAAAAAAAAAAAAGAAAACAAATCATGGTTCTAAAAACACACAAAGAAAGAAATCAAAAGGAACACCAACCGAACCCTGAACCCTAAATAGACCCGAACCCTAGACCCCTAAACCCTAAACCCTCAACCATAAATAGACCCGAACCCTGGACCCCTAAACCCAGGAGAAGCCCATCGAGTCCCAGATCGAGGAGCTGAGGCTGCTTCGCGAAGGGCGCCTTTGCTCGCGAAGGGTTTGTGAGGGTTTAGGGTTTAGGGTTTAGGGGTTTAAGGGCTTAAGGGTTTAAGGATTTAAGGGTTTAAGGGTTTAAGGGTTTGGGGTTTAACAGGAGGGTTTCAGGGTTTTGGGGTTAGGGTTCAAAAGTGTTTGGGCTTTTGGGTTTGGTTTTTGTTTGGCTTGAGGCTCGCTAACATTTTTTTCACGGGTTGGGGGTTTCAGGTTATAAGGGTTGGCGGTTTCAGGTTTTAAGGGTTTGAGGTTTAAAAGTTTTAGGGTTCTAGGGATAGATAAGGGGTCTTTTGGGTTTAATCAATTTGCCACAGCACGGAGCTATTTCACTGATTCCGTTGGGGTTTAGGGTTTAGGGTGTAGGGTCCAGGGCTTGAGTGGTTCGAGTTTAGTAACTACCACAGAACCTTCTGTAAATCTTAAGTCTTACACTCCCACAGGTACCCAATAGAATCCCTTAAAGGGATTTTATAGGGCCTTCATTCCCTCATTCCCTACTGAGAACCAGACGGGTTTTTGGGGCAGTCAGGCACCGGCGAGCGGGCGACTTCGACCAGGCAGCGGGGCTTCGGGGTTTCAGGCTTAAGCGTTGGAAGCTTGGAAGGCCTAAGCCCTGAACCCTGAACCCTAAACCCCAAACCCCAAACGCTAAACCCTAAACCCTAAAGCCTAAACCCTAAACCCTAAACCCTAAACCCTAAACCCTAAACCTTAGCCCTAAACCCTAGACCCTAAACGAGCCGTAAAGCCCCTGATGCTTGAGGTTTTTGTTTTTTTGGTAAAGGCTTCTAGGGTTAGGGTTAGGGTTTAGGGTTTAGGGTTTAGGGTTTTGGGTTTTGGGTTTTGGGTTTCTGGCTTGGGTTTCGGAACTTCTAGGGCATGGACAGCTCGGGTCATCAGCTTGAAAACTTGAAGAACATCAGGCCGTGATGTCCATGAACCCCCAGACTCCGACCTCAACCAAGCCCTGAAACCCTACTTGGAGGTTCATGGGTACTTATAACCCCAATTATAAGTCTACCTATAACCTACTTAGAGGACTTAGGGGACTTAGAGGGCTGATAAATGCAGTTGTAATTGGGGCTGTAATTGGGGTTATAGGCACCCTGAAGCTTCAAGGAAGCCTCTATATGCCCTCAAGCCTAACCCCCTAGATGCCCTGAGCCCTGATACCCTCAACCACTACTTGGAAGTTCATTTGAGTACGTAGAAGGAGGGTTATAAGTAGGGTACCTATGGCTATCACCTTGTTTAGGGTACTTGTTTATGACCCTGCGTAAACATACTAATGTATCTTCAAGTAGCCCTAAACCCTAAACCCTGTAAACCCTAAAATCTCAGAGCCTTAAACCCGAAAACCCTAAACTGTTCAAGTTTAGGGGTTTGCCCTAAACCCCAAACCCGAGTTTCTGAACCCCTAGACTGGCAAGAGCACTGCAATGTTTGTAGGAGTCTTGGGGTCAGTAGACAGAGAAGTCAAGCCCCTTCAAGGAAGAGGGGCTTAGGGTTTAGGGTTTAGGGTTTTGTGTTTAGGGTTTTAGGGTTTCTCGTATCAAAGTGGTATTCCTTAGCTAGCGGGTCTTACCCTCTCTGGGTAATTCGGCCCTTCTTGATAGGCCGCCAAAGACCAGCGACCCAAAACCCTGAACCCCACAATCCCATTCTGCGGAAACCTATTTGAGTTTCGTCCTTTTGCCGGTCGTATGCAAACCCTACTATATATCCGTCAGTTGATGAAGTCGGGACCTTCCCTCTCGCCTTGGAGGCGAGGCAATGGAATGCCGTTTGCACGTTTCACGTGCTTTGGAGCAAGTTCAGAAGGAAGACCCCGAGCAATTCGGTCATCTCGGCGTGAATGAGGAAGCCATCGATTGCCTCGAGGAGCAGCATCGGAGAAGGCACGAATGCCTATCAAGCCTTTCTGGGGCAACAGGACGAGCCGACTTGCGACCGTATGCTAGAAGAGGCCAAGTCAAGAAAGACTGGCCTGTGTTATCTCGCGATGCCACCGGCGCTACAGACGGGCAAGTCTCGGGGGTTTGGGCAGTTCTCTAAAATGGGTTCTCGGTTTGGGGTCCCTAAAGCCCTACACCCTTAACTGCCCGCCCTAAATCCTATAAACCCTAATCCCTAGACCCCCAAACCCTAAACCCCAGACCCCTAAACCCCTATAAACCCTAAAACCCAAACCCTCAAACCCTATCCCCCAAACCATTAGGCCCCTAAGCCTCTAAACCCTGAACCCTGAACTCGAAGCCCCCAAACCCTATCACCCCCAAACCCTAACCCCTACAACCCACGAACCTTAAACCCTAAACCCCAGAAAGACAGGTCAAGTAAGAACTCCGAAACATAAAACCCTGAACCCTAACCCTGTATAAACCCTATAAACTCCCCAATTCCCCACGCCTAAACGCCAGGCTAAACCCCCAAACCCTAACGCTAAACCCGAACACCTAAACACTAGCCCTAGAACCTAAACCCTAAACCCTAAACCCTAAACCCTAGCCCTAAACCCCAAACCCTAAACCCTAAACCCAAAACCCTAAACCCACAAAAAGCCAGGCCAGGGAGGCGGCTGCGGCGCTGGAGTTGCTGGCGCCCAGCGCTGAGACGAGGCTCAGGCTCGCCGTAGAGCCTTGGTCCGCAGTTGTCAGGGCCTTTTTGCGGGTTTGTTGGGGTTTAGGGTTTAGGGTTTAGGGTTTAGGGTTTAGGGTTTAGGGTTTAGGGTTTAGGGTTTAGGGCTTTTTGGGTTTTTTTTGGGCTTTTGGGGCGTCAGGGTGCAATTAGGGTTCAGGGCTTCTTTGGGGGCTTCAATTATGAGGGCGTTTAGGCTGCAATTAAGATTTAGGGCGTATTTGGGTTTTTTGAGTCTTTTGTCGGGGCTTTTTAGGGCGTTTGGGTCTTAAAGAGAGAGAGAGAGAGAGAGAGGGAGAGAGAGAGATGGAGAGCGAGGGAGAGAGAGAGAGAGAGAGAGAGGGAGAGATAGAGGGAGAGATAGAGGGAGAGATGGAGGGAGAGATGAGGGAGAGATAGAGGGAGAGATAGAGGGAGAGATAGAGGGAGATATAGAGGGAGAGATAGAGGGAGAGATAGAGAGAGAGAGAGAGGGAGAGATAGAGGGAGAGATAGAGGGAGAGCGAGAGAGAGAGAGAGAGAGCGGGAGAGGGACAGAGCGTAAACCTCGTACTCTTCACACTACCCAAAGGAAGCAGAACAGTCGGTTGGATTTTGGCGCTTTACCCTAAAACGGCTTGAACTTGAAACCCGTAACTGCTTTGTCGTTGTTGGCTTCTTTTCTTGGAGGTTAGTGGGATGGATTCTGT